TGGTCTGAGCTATGTTGGTAGATGCAGACTACTTGGTTGGGTTCCGCGTGACTGTCGTAACCTATCCTTGGAAACTCAACGGCGTAGGTGTATACACTTTTTGTCTTCGTGTAAACTATGAGATTAAAATTGTTCGATATGTTTCTGTTTATTTATTTATTTTAACACATAGGTATTGGTACAAGGAGGCACCAAATACATATGTGCCACACGAATCTCAATTGATTTGTGTGAGGGCTGGGATACTGCCTGGGTCCCCAGACCGAAGCAGGTGGTTTTGTTAGAAGGCCACACCACGAGCCTTCGACCTGAATGTCTGACCCACAAGGCAGTGGAGCATCGTAAGGAGATGCAGTCCCATGGTAGTTGATGACCAACGATTGGTTCATACACCATTTGTTCCTTCAGGATACTGGAGCCCATGTACACCATTAGTTTGAAATCGTGGTTTTACAACTCCCCTAGGTGGACTCTCCGTGTGCACCAACTTGAACTGATGCATATACGTGCCTGGTCCTACGTTGTATCTGACTGGTATAATAAAATCCAAAAGAACTGGTTTTGTAATTAAAGTAATGCAAATGGCCTACCAAAATCAATTAATCCCAACACTGTATGGACTTGGCGGTTACTGATATGAAGTAATTTAGCTCTGTTCTTGATAGAAATAATTCAAAGTTTTAATACAAAATATCTATAAATCTACGTGGCTAGAAATTTTTCATTTTTATTACTTACTAGAAATGTTCATTCAAGTTTTCATCCAAATACTTTTCTTGAAACTACATAGTAATTCCTATGTCATTTTCTAAAATATGTTTGTAAACTTCGAACCACTTGCAATACTTTTGTATCCGATTTCTTAAAGGTGGAAAGTCAATAGATAATAACAAACGAATATCTGAATTTGAAAGCACGGACAAATCTGGGTGTGTTAATTTATATTTAAAGGATATTGGACCACAAATTGGTTGGCGTACGGTGTTTTTAGTAGAGTACACAGGACCATTAGTTATATATACAATCATTTGGCTTCTTCGACAACCTTCTTTAAAAAATAACATACTTCCTCCTATTTCATCTGACTTCTATTTAAGAAAAGTTGCTTTAGCTTGTTGGTCTGGCCACTACATTAAACGTCTACTAGAAACCTTGTTTATTCATCGGTTTTCTCATGCTACAATGCCATTGCGTAATCTGTTCATCAATTGTTCATATTATTATGGATTCGCTTTGTTCATTAGCTATTTTACAAATCATCATTTATACACACCACCTAGTAAGTTTGATTAACAGTTGACTAAGTATTTTTTTTCACAGTTTGTATTTTAATTAATTAGGCGAACTGCTTGATGTTTTAAGTTGGTTTTTTAATATTCACTGTCAAAACCACATATTCGTTGAAAAGTATTATCTATCTTCGAAATGGAACAAATTGTAAATATCAAGTTTCTAACCTTTTTGTACTAAATACGTGTAGCTAAACTTATATTTCTAAAGTAAAACAGAGCATATGTACTTTCCTAAACCCTGAAAATTAGTCAAGTAGTGGTGCATCTCACAGTTACTATAAATATATGGTCACTGAGTATGAAGATATCACAGATACGCAGAATGTGACAGATTTACTGCCTAAAATCTTACTCAAGGATCCCAAACTCAATGAAACTGTTGAGATTAAGGGGATGCAAACGTACATGTGATTTATTTAGAATTACAGGTACAAATAATTATTAATTGAAAAATGCTAATAAGTACCTCATAATACAATCTCAAATGGATTCAAAGGCAAATCAGATCATTTGACTTTACTAATATTAGTAAGCAGTTTACCGATATCAATCGTTACAAAGTATATCTAGATGAGTTTCAAAATATCTGCAAAAAGTAATTACTTGAGTTTCGTCGTAATAACCACAAAAAGCCTATTAATATTTATCATGAGTAAAACAAATTTTGTTCTGAATAATGTTTTTCTTGTTTTACAGCATTCGGTCACACACAAATAGTTATAGGCTTCTTCCTCTTCATGGTAAGTCCCGTTTTTGTTTGCTTGTTGTCGAGAAACTCTTATTAACTCGCCTTTCTATTGATTTAGATCGGGTATTTTTTAAAAGACTATTATAAACAACCAATCAGGTAGTAGGAATTAACATAAAGTGGAATAAATATGAGTTAGTTCAAGTCGCCAGATCACATTAGCATACCGAGATAAAGTCAACACAATGAATAATGGTAGAATCGAAATAGAATAGTAGTATCAATCAGGGTAAGGAAGTCTTAACACTAAAACTTTTTAAGTTTCTTGTATTTTCATCTTGGTATCACATACGCCATATCATCGTTCAACCAACTGCAAAAAATCTCATTTTCCATTCTTGAAGCTTTTCATAATTCTATCTCAAAGTTGTCGTACGTTCTTTAGAATCCTTCTGTCCTGGTCTTACTGCCAGATTAATACCACGAAGGAACCAGTCAGTCAGATACAACGTAGCACCAGGCACATATATGCATCTGTCCAAGTTGCCATACCTGATTACTACAACAAAATGGACACCAAATTCGCAGGACAGTTACTTCAATGTTAGTAAGGTATGAAAAAAGGTTGCATATATAGATGTAGTATAGAAAGAAAGAAGTAGTTGGTAGAAAAAAAGATATAAAGCAATTTTAATCTCCAAGCGCTTTCTGAAGACCACTTAATTGGTGATAAAATCTGTCGTGCTCATTGGCCTAACGGTTAAGCGCTCGCACGCAAGACCTATGGGTCCTGGGTTCGAATCCCGCGGGCGGGAGTCTCATACTGGGAAGAAACGGTCGTCCAGGGCTTCCGGGTTTCGCCCTGATACGACGGAGGATGAAGAGAATCAGCTCTCTCTCTCTCGAAATGCTCTCATATGGCCACGCGTATACAGCCTCTGCCAGGGAAGTCCTACTCACTGCCTTCTCGTGGCATTACTGTTGCTTACGAAATTGAGAGGACGAAAAGCGAATGTCTGGCGCTTTAACCGGGTTGGTGGACATGGAGAGTCCACCTAGCGGAATTGCAAAACTCTGATTCCAAACTAATGGTGCACATGGGCTCCAGTACCCTGAGTGAACAAATGGCATATGAACCAACTTTTGGTCACCGGCTACCTTGGGACTGCATCTCCCCACGATGCTCCACTGCCTTGTGGATCAGACCTTTATGTCGAAGGCCCAGGATATGGCCCCCTAAGAAAACCACCTGCTTCGGTTTGGGCACCCTGGCAGTATCATAGCCCTAACACATATCAAATGAGATCTGTGTGGCGCATATGTATTTGGTGCCTCCTTGTACCAATATCTATGTGTTAAAATAAAATAAAATAACGTTTAAAAGGTTTTCAAAATGAACTTGACAAATTGGTAACCGATAATGACCACGATTTCAAGCTTGTGAAGCCACTACATAATTGTTTCTTTCCTTTAACGTTCGACTTCTGGTCACTAAGTTTCAGCTTCAAACTGTGCTCCACCTACTTTGGTTTATGCAACCGAGTAGCATCATTAGCCTTCACGCATAGAGTGTGTCTCTTATCCAACATTTCAAATGGAGCTTTTAGTATTGCATCATGCGTTCGTTTTGTTCAACTGTATACATTTGTGCTTACGATGTTAATCGCTTTTGTGTATATTTTATCGTACTGTAGATTGGTGAATGGGGAAACTTTTCATGTCATTTAGCATTAAAACGACTTCGACCAGCTGGTTCAAACGTTCGACAGATACCTTATCCAGTGGATGGTTGGTTATGTACTCGTATGTTTAATTTAGTGGCATGTCCTAATTACACTTATGAAATTATATCATGGTTTGGTTTTACTATTATGACACAAACTTTACCAGGTGAGTTGTTAAATTTTTGACTTTCAATATACTGTTATTCAATCGGATTTATTTTACATTTCCAAATGTATTTGGTGATGTGTTCCAAGTTACTTGCTTACGCCTGTTATCCCTCATGGAGGAGCATAGGCATTCTCCATCGAACTCTGTTCTGGGCAATCCTTTATAATTGCTATTGATCCTTTTCATGTGTGCTTCCGATTCTCGATGTAATGTGTTCCTTAGCCTTTTTCCATTTCCCTTCAGGATTACAAGTTAACACTTGCCTAGTGATACAGTTTGATGATTTCCGTAATGTATGTCCGACAGTAGGTTGTTACTGATGGTATCCGGTCAACGGACATTGAGTATCTTGCGTAAACAATTTTTTACAACTACTTCTACCTTTTTGATGATAGTTGTAGTAGTTCTCCACATTCCAACTCCATACAATAGGACTGTTGACAAAAAAGGCGTTTCGATATTATTCTAGAGTTGCTGTTGGATGTATGTGACCCTATGTCACTCCCCAGTTATCCAAACCGTGGAAGAATACTTCTTGATGTACTTGAAGAGTAAAATAGGGTACCGATGTTCTTGACGGTCTGACTAAGTGGCTACAGTTTCAAAATAACAGGTGCTTACGATAGGTCAGTTATTCTGTGAAAAATATTAAAATATCTTAGCATCGTACTCTGAAAGGTCTTTCTGTCGGTTGGGAAAATATGTTGGACATGAAGATATATTCTAATTTCAGCGTCGACCTTTATATGGACTACCTAAAATTCATAAACCAAACATACCTTTACGTCCAATTCTATCAATGTGCAGATCACCTACACATAACCTGGCTAAATGGTTAACAAAGTTATTGGACCCTATCCGAAGACATCTATGTAAGTATTCTCTAAAGGACTCTTTTGAACTGGTCGATCATTTAGGTGATATTAATATCAAGGAAAAGACAATGTGTTCATCGTTTGATGTGAATTTCTTGTTTACAAATGTACCTTTGAAAAAGAAACTATATTGATATATTATGTGATTACATATCTGTAAACAAACTTCAATCACGTGTTCCTGTAAAATTTCTTAAAGATTTACTGTTATTATGTACTGACAAAGTTCAGTTCACTTTTGAAGGTGAATACTTTCTTCAGATTGATGGGGTTGCTATGGGTAGTCCGCTAGGACCATTATTAGCAGACGTGTTCATGGTAAATGTTGAAAATCAGGCTGATGACATAATTGAAAACATATCACTTTATAAGAGATATGTGGATGATATCCTAGTTGTTTGTGAAAGTAAAGAGATGTACCGTTTATTAAATAAATTCAACACTCTTCAAAACCATATCAATCTCCCTTTCCTAGATATACTTCTGAGTAGACGAGAAGATGGCTCAATCAAGCGATCCATTTTTAGAAAATCAACGTGGACAGGTCAATACCTTAGTTATTATAGTTATTGCTCTGTGCAATACAAACGTGGTTTGATAAGGTGTCTTTTCAACAGGCTTGATCGCATTTGTACAAATTACGCCATTGATGATGATGTTAAGTTGTTAAATAAAACATTAATAGAAAATGGTTACCCCCTGAAATTCATAAATAGATGGAAAATCCATGGTACAGTGAGACCTACTGTAGCCTCGGTAGAATAAAAGCCTGTCTACATCACCTTACCATTCAGAGGTGATTCAAATAGTCTCTTATTGAAACAAAGACTTAAATCAGTCATCAGCAAAACGTACTGCGCAGCAAAGGTCATTGTCAAAGAAAGAACAAGGTGCATGTTTCATTCAAAACCTCAAAGACATGAAAACGATTGTGTCACATCCCACTGTGTTTACCAATTTAAATGTGTGTGTGGTCACACATACATAGGGAGGAGCAATCGTAATCTTAACATTAGGGTGAGTGAACATGTACCCAAATGGCTGCAAAAACAAATACAATCAAGTGACCCAATAAGAGCAGAGGATAAACATCGGTCACAGAGACGATAATGAAATTGGTGTTACCATCTTGAAACACCGACTTCGGTGGCTTGGACATGTTCTACGAATGTCGTTCCAGAGAATTCCACGTCGTGCATTATTTGCCGACTCTGGGACTGGTTGGAAAAAGCGGAGAGGTGGTCAGTATATGACATGGTGTCGTGGTATGAAAGAAAGCTGCAAAGGGCTAGCTTGTGTTGGTCCTTCACGACTCCCTGGTTGGGGTTCGAGAGACGGTGTAACGCAGTGGCTAGAGACGTTATCAGATATGGCTAAGAATAGAAGCCAGTGGCGATCGTGCTGTAACCTCTTACTTTCTTCATAGAAAGTGGTTATATCTTCCTTAATTGAAAGATCTCTTCTGATTGTACCTTTACGTTTCCCCCACCATTGTTCTCTCTCTCTCCCCTTTTTTTTATAATTCCCCACGTTCATTACTTTTTTTTCTCTTTTCTCCTTCTCTTCAAATTATCATTGTTTTGTGTGGCGCATATATATTTGGTGCCCCCCTGTACCAATATTTATGTGTTTAAATAAATAATAAATAAATAACTTCCATCTTACCCCTGTACAGTTAGGAATACAAATTTGTTCCTGGATTAAGTTTGTTGTTTTCAGTGTTACTATTCTCCAGTGGACGACCTACCTGGTATAGTAAGACTTGAAAGAATAAGTATTCCAATCGATATAGTTCAACTGAGTCTTCATGATATGCAAACTCAACCACCATATCAAGACATCCAATACCGTTGGATTAAAGCTAATCATTCATTCAGTCAATCAGTCAGCTGCAACGTAGGACCAGGCACATATATGCACCGGTCCAAGTTGCCATATCGTATTAGCACAACAAGATGAACACCGGATTCATAGAAGTAGTTAATTCAATGGTGGTAGTGATATATAAAAGAAAGATTGTGTATAAGGAGATAGTACAGGAAGAAAGAATTAGTTCGTAGATAGAATGATATGAAGTGATTTTAATCTCATAGATTAAAGGAAGACAGATAGTGTATACACCTACGACATTGTGATCGATTCTGGGTCATGTCACCAAGATTCTTCAACCATTGGTTGGAGTGAATACATAATTATTGTACACTTTATTTAATTATTCGACATATCAAAACATCTTTAGAAGAACCTCTGAATACTTTAACTTGTTAATTTTTTTTGTCATTTATTTCTAGCTTTTATATTTACTATTTGTGGATTTCGTCAAATGAGTATTTGGGCTATGAATAAATTGAATGCATATCGTCGAGAATTCATAGATTTTCCAAAGAATCGTAAAGTAATCATACCATTTATTCTTTAAATTCTTTATTCTATGCATCATTTATATCACCTATTATTATTATTATTATTATTGAAATGTAATATTCCTTATGTTTCTTTGTTGAGTTTGTTAAGAAAAGGAATGAACACAAATCATAGGTGTATCTCATTCTGATGTATGTTTTTTATTTATTTATAAAATGTAAAAAGAAGAAAATACATTTCTTTTCTATACTTTTATCTAGATTAATCAAGGAAAAGACGCATTTGTATGAAAGATTTGTGGGGTGGGGGGTACGGGGGATGTTAAACTTTCATAGTGTTAGTACATCATGGATTGATTTTAGTTAGATAGTTAGTATAAACTAGAAAGCATTGAATAGAATGTTCTTTCTTATCGGCAGTACGTACTTATCCATAGCCTCACTATGAATCGAGGAGGTCTCATATTGCTATCTAGTACTTTCTAGTTTTCAGTAGTTGTCTAACTAAAGGGCAGTCCATCATGTAGATTTTGGAAAAGTAATTACAGGGGATCTCCATTTAGTTGTCAGCAGGGTAGTTATCAAGTGAGTAGTGGTATTGTGTCAAGTATTTCGTAAACAGTAATCAATTGGCTAAAAGAAAACTATCATGTTGGGAAGGTGTTAGCTTGAAATATTTTTCGTCAGAAAGGTATGCGCTGCTTTGACTACCGCTGTTTCTGCTTACTAATCTTTAAACGTGGTTTTAAGAAGTTGATCTACTGCTAACTCAGTAATTCAGTGGTCTTGAGTGCTATTAGGGGTATGCGGGCTGTTTTCACCTCTCAGTTCCCCATATCTTGGAAGGAGGGTTCTTCTGGAGGTGCCTGAAAAGGGGATTGGATTAAAGTTGGTCTTAGTGACCTGGAAGCATAACCGCAATACCTAAGGGACGACTGCTTGAGGTCGGTCACACGAACTTTTTGTGGGTAATCTTCGTGTTAGCTCCGTACTTGTTGAGACCTTACCGCCGGGGACGGATATCCGTGGGATAAAGCGAGGTGTGCATTTTTGCGGTCAACATTTTCTAACCCGACTCCTCCTTGTGGGAAGGCAGCACCGTTGCTAAACTAGCTTATTTCTGTTTCACAAGTTACATGTTATCATCAACTGTCTACACCAATTTGGGTGTATGCGCCAAGACATGCTTCAATAAATTATATGTAAGGAAATTATTCACACTAAGGAATTTAGAAAACAAAACGGTGAACAAATATTCCTTTACAATCAGCTGCTCTTCATTGTGTTTCTACGAATAAGTGTCCAGTTTGTACTATTACAGTAACTTAACATTATCATTAGAAGACGTAGGTTGAAATTTTGGTCGGCTAAGTTTTAGGCAAGTCTCTAGAAACTATTGTTATACGGAATCCTGTATCTACTTGCAGCTTAACCGGTTTACCATTAAAGTAAACAGTTACGTGTTTTCTGTTCAACGAGAGTTGAGTACCCTGTATGGCTAGAATTACGTGGTATTTTTAGGGAAATTTTCCTTACGAAACTCATGCTGAAAGTCAGCAGTTGTTTGCCTAATTTTACCATACACATAAAACATTTTCGCAACACATCAACTGCATGTACACAGTTACTCTTTATCAAATGGGTGTCATACTTTAAATTCACCATTCCCCTAACATTGTTTGTACAGTGATACTGGGATCTACATCATTCCTCTCTGAAATATGCGTTCTGGTGTCCGCATCTATCGTAGGTCGTAACCTATACACAAAAATGGATGATCGTTTCCCAAATATATGTCTCAGGCACTCTACTGTTTCCATGAAGGTTAGGTTACCTGGCTTCTTTGGAAGAATGAAAATTACGAAACTTTTAATGTTCATAAACCTCAGATTTTCGCAATAATCTGTTCTTAGCCTTCATCCCACTCTTTACAATCATTCATAAACGAATCCTCATGATGCTTAAACCATGGGTCAAAAGTAATTCCACCTTCTCGACTAAACATAAATTCACTTATTAAATTTGCAATGGCATACAATGTCGTAGTCGAACTGGATATAAAGATCATTGAAGATGTCGACATATTCTTCACCAACAATTCAATCAGATCATTTTACCGTTGCTAAAAGAATTATGGACTATTCATTTTATTGATATAAAATCCACTTTAACTAGATAAACGGACGTAGATCCATTTTAAACACAGTCACCAAACAAACGGCATACAAAACTACTTGGGACGAACAATTTATCTACTTATACAACTCACTAGTTATATACTAGATACCCAGCTAGGTTTAATAGATCAGGAACCCACACAACTCAAATGAAGAACATGCAATTCCTCTGACTAATACGTATATTAGCCAACATTCAAGTAAATATAAGGTGTATGGGAACATATACGGTACATCAAATATCTATCAGACTATCCCATCAGTCTGTCTAGGATATCAGTCAATAACTACTTCCTCTCGCCCACAATCATCAGTATTATCACTGTTCAGCAAGAAATCTCACTAATCTATTAATCTTCTTTCAATTATTATTTGGGATTGGCAAGTATCAGAAGTGTACTTCTATATCTGAACAAAATGAGCTACTTTGTCAAATGAAGACGGACAACTACAAGTCTAGTTGATTTTTAACCAGTCAACAACACACCAGTGAAACAGTTTCAATGTCATAACATCATATAATCAATACATTATTCGGTAAAAGTTAAATAAGTTCAAATCCCGAAAGCGGGATCGTAGATGTGTACTTCTGAGTAGCCACATACTAGGACAAAATGGCCACCCAATGCTCCCTGGTTTTCTATAGTAAACTAACTTTAAATGACTCATGAATTCAACTATTAAATTACTATAATATCCATATGAACCCCTTTTCGATAAAGATATAATACATTGATAACCTTGGGCGACTTATCAGACAACCAGGACACTTTGAATATTTACAAAACAATTGAGAGTGAAATAACAGTTAAGAGTTTGAATAATCAATCCAAATGAAAAATATCAATACCATATAATATTAAGAGTTTGGATGGTATTCTGAGTACTTTAACATACAAATCATTACCTAAGCAGATAGTATGTTTTGTTATTTACATTATTTTTTTTATTGATTTCGGGCATTGTTATTGTCATCATCTTAATAACAGCATACGAGTTATCTATCATTACATTTTACAATTCAATCAAAATATATATGGAGTTATTGATATCAAGATGTTAGAATTTTATTTATCACATGGATGAATGTTAAATTAAAATGTGTTGAGACGGTTTCCGAAAACTACAAAGAAGTCGAAGAGTTTCCATCTAATCAGAACGTGATAGAGATTTCAACGTGACATGCTACTATTAGACATTAGTGTAACATGTCTCATTGCAGGTTGACTGAACTATAACGTTGTTATAACAAACGGTAATAATTATAAATACACATGATTTTCTGTACATTATGATTCTTACGAAACAAACACTTTTCTAGATTTCTTCTGTGTTAATCAAGTAACGAACCTAACAGAATGAAGCAGTTTTTCAATTTAATTTCCTTTCAATGTTATTTCATGAAGAAATTAATTCTTACTTACTTACTAAAGCCTATTACTCCTAA